AGACTTGTGTCGTTAAAATTTCGTCGGAACGAAGTTACGGAAAAATCAATTAACAAACGGAGACGTAACAGTATTATTTGTGAAGCTAGATCTATCGTTAGTTCGTTAAACCGTGGAATTTGTAGAACTTGTAGCAACACCTAGTACCTTCATATCATGAGCAAATTTAACTATTTTTTATCATTCTTTCATCTATGTCATTGATGTAAATCAAAAAGAACAAAGGCCCAAAGGATGAGACCTGAGGTACTCCACTTGTGCCATTAATCCAGTTTGATTGAACTAAATTTATAACAACCCTCTGCTTTCTTCCATCCAGCCACTCTTCTATCCAATTAGCTAACTCATCCCACACACTATATAGATACTTTTTTACAAGCCTTTTAAGTGGCACGTTGTCAAAGGTTTTCTAAAAATTCAGAAACAGCAGATGTACACCATTACCCTAATCTGTAAGGCAAGATTTTCCCTTAGTGAAACCATGGTGACTATCCAATAAAATTTTAAACTTTGTTAATTGGCTTTGCAAAACATCTTTTATCAGATTTTCCAAAACTTTTTTCACAACTGATGTAAGAATAATAGGCCTATAATTACTGGAACAATTTTATTACCTTCCTTGAAAAGAGGAGAGACATTAGCTAACTTTCAATCCTTTGGCACATACCACTGTTCAAGGACTTACAAAAATAGTACCAAGTGGCTCACATATCCAATTTTTAGCTTCCGTCAAAATCCCTGGGGAAATATCATCTGACCCAGGAGCATTATCATTTGTTAAATTTCCCAATGTTTTCTCAACAAGCTCAGAATTAATGCAATCACGTTGTCCGACCTACGTCCATCTATTAACTGTTCAAGATGAGGAATATCGCCTAAATCTTCACTAGTAAAAATGAAGAAAAGGTAGAATTTAAAACTCGGTCATTTCACAGTCATCAAATACAATCCTTTTTTTATCATTCTTCAAGAGTCATACGCCATCCTAACATTTTTTTACCCTTAATGTACTTGAAAAAATCCTTACTGTTGTTTTTTACATTTTCAACCAAACTTATTTCATACATTCTTTTTGATGTTCTAATTTCCTGTTTGATCAACTTTCTTGATCTTATATAATCTTCTAAATTTCCCGTCATACCAGTAAATTTAAATTTCTTAAATTTGTGATGCATTTTTTTAAATTTTAGCTTTTATACTCTTCGTGAGCCCACATGATTTTTTTACTTGCAGCCACTCTTTTCTTTCTATAAGGAATATTGTTACGTCTCCGTTCGGTAGTTAATTTTCCGTAAATTTCGTTCCGACGAAACTTTAGCGACGCAAGTCCTTTCTTAAATAAAACTGGTTTATTCTTTCTGAATACAACTTTGCAATACACTTAATTTCCACAGTCGCGCTATAACAAACACTATAATTCACAACGAACGTCTCACGTGCTCGACTCAACAATACTCTGTCCGCAGTTCAATTACACAGCATTACATTGTTGCCGTCACTTCGTGACCGCCTTATATAAAAGAATACCGTGCATTTAGTAACCTCCCGAGGATTCACGAAGCTACGAGAATATGACGTGTTACTAGAGTCACGTGACCTCCGCTGTCGTAACAATATGTTTATCTTGAATATATTTAAAAATTTATTCTTAAAAAAATTCCACATTTGATCAGTGTCTCCAAATAACTCAGCTGTCCAATTCACATTAGATAATTCTTGTCGCATCCCTTCAAAAGATGTTCCCCACTTTCCACCCTTTCAACAATTTCTGTATTAGAAGTTAAGAATAAATCTAAAACAGCATAGTTTCTAATAGGTTCCTTGACCAATTGGTGAAGAAAACCATCTTGAACAGTTCCAAAAAACATTTCTCTCTCATGGTTTGACTTTAGCATTCCCAGTCTATATGCCTGAAATTAAAATCGCCCGTATATTTTAAAGCTTCCCTTCCAAGTCTCGGCTTACTGCTTTTTCATGAGGGGAATTAAATAAAAATTGAAATTTCAAATGCTCATAAATTTATTAATTGCTGAAAGTTTAGTTCTTTATCTTAAGTAAATGAGAACAATGTCTACTATGTACTAATATATATATATTAAGTTTTTAATGCTTTCTGGATAAATAGATTCTAAACCAAAATATTCGATCGCTTTGTAAAATATTAATGTTCATGGTTTGTTACAGAGGGCGCTTCAGAACAGTAAGATGACGCTCTCATGCTAAGGCATAAATGGCGGACAAGAAAGAATTGAGGGCGGAAGGGGAGTTTTTAGTTAGTGTAGGGAGAGTTGTCTCCCAGCTTTTTAATAATTGGTTTTACCTAATGTTTGGCTTCAGTTTGATTTGATTAGCAAGAAACAGCTATTAAATTCAGTATAAGTTGTATTTATCTTACGGGATTAGTGCTACTATTATAAGTTGAAGTTGCAAAAGAAACGTAAGCTGAATTGACCATTGTTGGATAAGACAAACTGTGCTTCTGCAGTGCTAGGCCTTATCTACAGAAATATGGTAGGTATTGTATTATTTGTAGTGGTTTGTCTAAAATTATCGAGAATAAAATGTGAGGGATAATACTGTATTCACTTTCTAGGTACATAAACTACGCTTAACATTTTAAGTTAGTGAATAGTTTGCTTACATTGTAAAATACCTGCTGACTAGTTGAAAAATTAAAAATATAATTATGCACTCGTTTGCTCTAACAAACAGTAACACTAACAATCTTTACGTTTTTAGCACTTTTTATCTGATCGTATATAAAAATAAAGTGGGTCAAAAGCCTTTTGTTTTGGCTTGCTTGAATACATTCCCATTAAAGAGGTAAAAGCTAAAATATTCTTTACAGAACATTTCTAATTTAGCTAAATATTCATTGTGTAATCATTAATGTTGCTATTGTCTGAAATGAGTAATTAAATTAAATAATTGACTTTAGTTTTGGTTATTGCAGTCTTGTGCCTACAAGCTACAGCCTGTGTTATCTAACCAAATAGTAAAATACACAACATGGGTAGAGACTATATATATATACTTTTATTTTTTAATTTGATTTTAAGTATTTGTTTGAATTCCATACCCTATAGCAGATCTAGGTGGTATTGGTATAGTACACAAAGACATTAGTTTCACTCTACCAGGGTCAGATCTAACCTGCTAAAAGTGATTTTCTTATCTTAAGCAATCTTTGCTTCTATATGTATCTTCATCTTAGAGGTGAAACATTTGGTGGAAATAATTTCCTTTGATTTTTCATGAATAGCAGAATGAAAAAATTAATTGTTTTCTACATGTACCTACTTGTGCAAAACAAAAGGCATGATCAATGAAGATAGGTGTACTATATTGTTTATGCATTTTTTATACCATCTAGGTCAGGCTTGGGCACTAGCTAATGTTCCATAACAGTGTGTATGTAGTCAAACTTAAACTGCTTTCATGAAAGTTGTGTATCTATGTATTATTAGACTATATATGTGACAGCTATGGAGCTATTGTCCCAAGACTGTGTACACAGTGGTTAGTCACCTGTTATTCAGATACTTTATTAGTATGTACATAAAACAACAATATATGTACACTCTCATAACTTGTTTTCATGATTATATACACTTTTGTGGACAGTGTTGTATATGTGACTGTGTAGTTCAATTAAGAATCTTTAAACTAATAACATGTCATCATTCCAAAATGGCTGTATAATTGTTTTCATTTGACCATATACATGACCATTGAGCATCTGTATCTATAAGCTACATAGGGATTTCATGATCATTTTCACTTTACTGAGGTTTTAGTTGAATCTTGAATTAATTTCATTATTATTATAATGTTTAAAATCAGATATAGAAAAATCTAGTCATTAATTTCCAAATTTCTGTTAAGATTAAAAATTTCATCACCTTAGTTTGTAATAGTAAATCTTAAGAAGTACATTTGACCCTGTTGTAGATTATACTTTGAAGGTGAAAATCAGAATTGAGTATTTTTTAGGAAAAGTGACAATAATTTAATAAAACAAGCATAGGAAGTATTGTTTTACAATGATTTTACATCAAAATTATGACCTAAAACTTAAGGCAATTCAGGAGCTCCATTATTATATAGTTGTCATCTAAGTAATTTCATTTGCTTAACTATAGACAAAAATATTAGAAGAATACTAAATCCAGCCTTCCTAGTGTTATTTTTCTGACAATAGTATGTTAGATGTACAAAAGACTCATTTCTCATGTTGAACAGTTGTATGATACAAAAAAAAAAAGACATTGACTATTCGTTACAGTATAAACATAACACTGATTTTTTTTAAATGTCATTTTAGAATAATGGCAGAAAATGAGGAAGATCTCACTATACCTCGAGCTGCAATGAACAAGATGATTAAAGAAATTCTTCCACATGTTAGAGTTGCCAATGATGCCCGTGAACTTATCCTGAACTGTTGTACTGAGTTTATCCATCACATCGCCTCTGAAGCCAATGAAATCTGTAACACTCAGCAGAAAAAAACTATCTCGGCTGAACATATTCTAGGAGGTATTTTTTTCTTTAACACATTTGTAGCTATGTCAACAACACGTGGCTAAGGCGGCTCAATAATTTGTTCAAACTGCGTCAGCCACTAATGACTGACAATGTGACAGAGAGTTCAAGCCATGTTGATTGTTAGTGTCCTACATTCTATAAGATTGCACATCTTAGATATAGATTTATATGGCCCTGTGATGAAAATTTAATTTTTAAAGAAGGTTTATAGTGACCCACTTATGTAAAAAAAAAGACTTTATGTCCACAACTTTTCCTTCTAAAAACATTGTTATTACTAACTAATTGATGGTTGTGTTATTTTTTTTTCATATTTTCCAACATTTTGTGTTACCTAGATTCCAGCAAGTGAAGCCAGTTGAATAATGCAATCCTTTTTTGGTTTATTGAAATGAGAATGCACAATTAAAACAAAGTGGCTTTTGCAAACTACTCTGTGCTATGTACAAAAAAAACAGTGTTAAACAAGAGTCCCAATGGAGATAAACCACAGAAATGAGACACTATTACCAGACTTACATTGTGTGTGTGTATATATTTGTTCTCAAATAGAGTACCTTGTTGCTGTAGAGTATTTGTACATAAAGCATTCCCAGTATGTGCATTTCTCTTCACCAGCCTCCAGAACATTAAACATTGCATTCTTTTCTGCCAAATACTGAGGTTAAAAGTTTTTATCCTGAACCATAAGATATTCCTAATCATGTGGACCAGTGCATACTAATCTCACTTTTATTTTCCTAAACAAATATGACTTGCAGTGAAGTAGTGGTGAGTAAATGACTATATATAAAAACAAACAAAATTAATTCACAAGTAAGTAAGTATCCAGTTAACTTGTACTGGTATGACACATTATCCAAACAGCTAAATTATAGTAAATGTGAGTGGTAAGTAAAGGGCTATAGATGAAAATCAATCAAATTCCTTACATTCTATTGCTATATGAGGCCTACATAATTTATTTGCTTCACTTTTCCAAGTTGCACTGATGTGTGCCATGGTGAAAGTAGTGAGACAAAGTATAGATTAGACTCCTCTGTCATCTTCACTGAAATTCACATTATGTAGTTATTCATTTATTTACTAGGCAACATTTCAAGCAAACACTTTTTCTAAGCCAGAAACAAGCCTGTCAGTTAATGACAATTACTGGAACATCGCAGGCAAAGTACACAGCTGTAAAATCTTGAAATATCTGAAGAAGGGATTTTACACTATCAACAATAATTTTTTGCAGAGGTAGTTTTTAGGATATCATTATAAAAAAAAAAAATAATTTTTCAGCAACTGTGAAAGGTTGGTATTTTGGTACTTTTTTTTCATATGTTACATAATAGTTAAGAATTTCATGAAGTGTTAGAGATTATGTTCTCGTAATTGTCATTAACCAACAGGCTTGTTTCTGGCTTGAAAAACAGCATTTGCTCAAAGAACCTTGTTAAGTAAATAAATTACTACCATAGTTTTTAAAGGTGATTATTTTTCTAAAAGTAGAATTTCTTTATATATATGTATATATATCCAGCTATAAAAGTCGTTGATGAACTATGAGGGTAGAAAAATATTTGATACGTAATAGTTGTTAAAGTGATACATTGTATTTTTGTTCTTCAGCTTTAGAAAGTCTGGGTTTCAGGGAGTACAAACATGAGGCAGAAACAGTTTTGAAGGATTGTAAGGCTGTTGCTGCCAAACGTCGCAGACAAAGTACACGGCTGGAAAATCTTGGAATACCTGAAGAAGAGCTTTTACGACAACAACAGGAACTTTTTGCAAAGGTAGTTTTAAGCCTTTGTTGGAATGGATATGTGGAAGGTTACAATTAGATGGGTTGGTGATGGTTGTTGTTTACTCAGCATCCCTTTACAGCGTAGTAAACCAAAGACCTTTATAAAAGTTTTATTTATTGATGTGCATGTGGCTTTATGTAATACATATTTCAAATACTACATTAAAATAGTTTGTTTTATTTATCGAGGTCTATGTTTCTCACCCTCAGAAATTTGAAGCAAGTAATGTCCAAAAGGTTAAAGGTCTTTGGCTATATATATAGCTGTGAAGTTAAAAAATGGAACCTCTTAAAAGTATTTTAATATACCAAATCTAGAGTTTAATTAAAGAAGTTGTATTTCGAATTATAGCATAGTGTACTCGGAATTTGATAATTTAACCATGTCTGTGTTTTATAGGCTCGTCAACAGCAAGCTGAGATAGAACAGCAGCAGTGGCTAGAAATGCAACAGGCTGCTCAACATCAGTTGATGTTGCAGCAGCAGAATTCTAAAGCTGAAGATGATGATGAATATTGAACCAATTTAATATACAAACTAATTGAAACTTTAACATGAAATAGTCATTTAATAACTCGTCAAAAGATGGTTCCAATACTAGACAAAACATTTCTCAAACTTATAGATGATGTATTTGCGAGATATTCTTTGTACAGTTGTGAAAAATAAACATTTTCAGACTTCCCAATTATCAAATATATTTTGTATTTTGTTGTACTTGTTTTTCAAAATTTCATTGCTTTTGAAACATTTTTTTTTTTTTTCATAGATGTGGTTGCTATTTTATCTGAAATATACCTCAGTATTGAAAGATATGTTTTAGTATTTGCAGTATTGTGAAATAAAACATTTTGGCAAAAAGTTAGGAAAAAATTCTTTACTTTGCAGTCAGTTTCATTATTGCTGCTTCATCAGGGCTACTACTAGCCCTGATGAAGCTGTAGCAGTGAAATGCTGACTGAAATAAAGGTTTATTATAATTTTCTGCAGTCTCTTTTTTTTTTTGTAACTTTATTGCCAAAATGTCTAAATTCCTCCAGTAGACACTACAAATTGCAAAATGTATGTTCATTCATGTACACCTTCTGACTCTTATTTTGTTTTCAACAGCTTATTTTTTTTAGTTCATTATAAGATTAGGAGGTAATAAGTTGCTGGTGATATATGTGTACAGAAATTTTGATTATTATCATTTGAATTTAGGACTATGTGGTTTACTCTTAATTTCAAGACAACATTTTGCACATTTGTGAATAATTTGCGTTAAATTGTTTTTTAATGTTATCAATCAAGATTTCATGTAGGGATTTAAGCTTTCTAATAGTAACCTTAATAGTTCTAGTTCCATATTGGTTTTCACTAGCCTCTTTTACAGCACTGGTTTTGATCTGCTTTAGACTGATGCACATCTCTTCATTTTGAATAGTGTTGGTGATCATGTGCTACTGAATCCATGGTCATTATGGATGCTACTGGATAGATGTGATAATCATCCAGTCAGTCCACATCTTCAGCCTTCTCTTTTTTATTTTACTTTTGGACTGGAGTATTTTAATTCTCATCCATTCTGAAATGACCATCATCAATAACTTTTTCCTTATTGTCAATGGATTACATTTACCTCAATGAGCATATGGCATACAGGTTGGTCTTGCAGTCTTTTGAACTGTCTGTACAAATGAGAAGTAACATACAACACTTTTCTGCTTGTGTTGCAGATAGTTATACATGGCCAGGTGATAAAGAAACTATATATCATTAGTTTGGAAATGGTTCGATATTTTTCTAGTGACACATCATACTTCCATTCCTGTTTTGATTGACTAATGGCTTTCCATGTTAGTGTTTTCATGAACAGCTTGAAACTCTTTAAACTTAGGAATTCACTCGTATATCTCGGATTGCGTCATTTGAACTGAGATTGGTTGACGTTATTTTAGAACAGTACTAATTTGGTCTGCTCATAGCTAAAGTTTTATAAATTTCAGTCATGGCTTTCTTGAAGCTAAATGAGATGTGCTACATGCACTTCTTTACAAATACACTTTTCATCTTCATGAACTTCTTGATCATAAAAAGAACTGTAATATTTTATTCCACTTATCTCTTCAAATATAGTTATACAATTGTTTTTCTTCTGTCTCTTTTAAAAATTCTTCCATTTGATACCTTTACCTTTGCGGGTATTTCAATTTAAACCATTCAGCTTTAAGATAGAAAGGGCCTTAGAGCGGAATGTAATCAGGGGTGTTCACCCCACTCAAGATTTAAGAATGACCCGATTAATTATTGTAGTAACGATGATCAACAAATACATATAGCTAAATGACTAAGTAATAATTTTTAAATCCATCAGAAAGTAGAAGAAGAAAAGCCACTTGATAAACAACACAAATGCTGCATTATGGTTTTTATTTTCAAGCTTCAATGTAGAGGTTCTGTTCATAAGTTATAGATCCACATATGATAAAAACCTGGTGCCCTTTTACACTGTTCCAAAATCTCTTCACTTATCACAGTTTTTATACAAAAGAACGTGCCAAACAGTTTTATAAACTATTTTTATGTATACACTAATATTCCAAACCAGATCTATAAAGCTGCTCTATGCATGTACAAATATTTCATACATGGTTTGTAGAACTTTTTGAAGTATGTACAAACATGCTGAATAGAGCAATGTTTGTTGTGATAAGCAATCTTCAGAAAAATCATCTTACTTGCCTTTTTGTTTTTAATAAGTACTCTGAAGAACTAAAAAATGTTCTTCCCATACCTGTATAAAATATCAGCAAGTCTTTTGCATATAGGAAACCTTATCTAAAATACAGTAAGAACATTTAAACACTTTTTTTTTTTTAGAAAAGTACTAAGAGTTCATTTAAAACTTCCTTGACTCCACCAAATCTGAATATTGTGACACTCGAGTTATTTGGGAGATACGAGTACTTGCACTATTGAAATAAATTTATTGCTTATAAATAACGTTTTCAGTAAAGTGATTCTGTATAATAAAAAGTAAATGGAATTTTTTTCTTTTCTGTGATTTGTTTAGTTAATGGCAGCTTTTCATAGTTTCAATTGGTTTCTAGTAATTTCATAGTCCTGTGCTTTTGGTGGTTTTATTTTACATTCTCTAGATTTAGTTAATACTTACCATTCTGCACTGCAAACAAATGTAGCAATTTCTAGTCATTACATTGGATCTATCAGTTCCTAATATACCAAAAAAGTAAACACATTTTTTCACTGAACATAATTCTACTACCACATCAACAGAACTGGACTGGAATTTTAACTTTCACTCATACAAGTGTTTTTAGTTAAATTTTCTGTGTAAATTCATAAAGGAAGAAAAAAATTACATATTCAACTTTATATTAAAGTAAATGAAAATAATTACTTGACAAAATATCTTGAAACATATTTCATGTAACAATTAATATTGTTTGACTTTCGAATAAACCAAAGAGAAGAAGTAAAATCTGGAAACTGTGTTTAATTCAATTCATTGTATCTGTGCTCTATGGACTTTTGAAATTTTAAAGAGAGTTCAAAAGTATCCCTGAATGATGAATTTCATGGTTGCAATTATTAACCCACAGTAATGGAGCCAATATTTTAACAGGTACGTTTGTAAAACGCATATAAAACATTTAGCATGATGTATTGTACCATACAATATTGTAAGATGACAGAATTCAATTAACATATACTTGATACTTTTAAGTAGTTAAAACCCTTGCAATTAATACCTCATATTTTGAAGAGGTAATGATAATGACTAACATATACTGTTCTTTGGTGAACATCAACATACACTAAGAGTTAACATTATTACAACCAACAATTGTGATCACTATGACATTTAACTGGAGATGTTTTTTTGCCACATTCCTCCTAATTAGCACATTGAAGATTTCAAGCAAGACATATAAAGTTACAATTTCTAAATCATTGTTCACCATAATCACAGGGCAACTTTAACTTAATACAGTAACTTATCTGTATTTGATGTTTAATACTAAAACACTTCCACAGTGGACACTGTAATACCAGAACAGGACCACAGTGCACACTGATACCACTTTATACCACAACACATCTGCAGTTTGTCTATTACAACCCCATGAATTCTTTCTTATAATACCATAAAAATATATATATAATACTAGATCATGTCCACAATCGACATTTAATATCATAACGTAGACAGTGGATATTAATACCAAACACATTCAGAAACCATTTAATATCAAATAACGGGCACTGTAACTGTTGAACATGACCAAAGATGACATTTAGTACCAGAATACGTACACAAAGGACCAATTTGGAGGAATGTGACAAAATAATAAGCATGTAATCAAATGTCATTTTAATGATAATTATTAAATGGGTGAACACATTCTGCACCATAAGATGGTAAAAACTTGTCACATTGTCCAGGAAGTTCTATGTGCTTAAGAAACTTACATAAGCATTACAAACAATGAAACGGCCAAGTGTAATATGAATACATCATTTAATTATGTCATAAATACATATATCAAACTTTCTTCAACTTGAGACATTATTATAAGAATATTTGATGATGATGACAATTCAGTATGACTAAACAACAGTGAATCTTTATATAAGGTGTCCCATAGATATAATAGCTGAAAAATACAACTACAAAATATATACTGGTAGAAATCAACATGATCAAATAAACTTAATATTTAAATACTGATCTTTTTGTCAGTATTTGTACATCAACCTGCTTTATATTCAAAGAGCAAATAAGTATAGCTTCCTCAAGACTTGTTGTGGTTTAATGGCAGTTAAAACTAAAATTAGGATGCAAGCTACATGTTAAGAGAAGTCTGGCATATCATAAAACACTAACTGATGTACAAACTGCTACATTCCTATATTACATTACACAGCATAGAGGTTACCAGATGATACAAACAACCAACTTTCTTGTTCCACATTTTGGAACTTCATTTAGAACAGATGATTAAGATTTGGTAATAACATGGTATCTATAACAAAAGCAGCTAGTCAGTCTCTTAGACACCCTCTACAAATATCATCACTGTTGGTATAGGTGGTAACTTCATCGAAACAAAGAAAACTTTTTAGGTAATCGACCTTCTTTATTCAAAAGCCCAGTTTCTATATCTTCATAAGCTGGCAGTTTTTTAAGATCTCCTAAAGCTGCTACTGCTGGTTTACTTCGAAGCATACGGTGGGCTACTCTTCTGATGTCTTCTTCTGTTACTTTACCTGTTAACGCAAGAAAATGGTATACAATTTATATTACAAATTAATTAGACACTCATAAAATTCTTAGTTTCATCATCATCATCTTGAAATATTTTGTTTATAAAATGAATCCAACAAGACTTTATCAACATTAAACTCTCAGTTTATTTAGCACATACAGAAATATTAAGAAGTACTTTTCATTTCCTTTTAACTTTTGTATTAGAAAGACAAATTTGAATATATATATATATACATATTTAAATACCTATTAGAAAAACAGTTTTCAAATAAACAAGTTCAACACTTAGAATTCATTACAGACATTACTCTCGGCATTCTACATTTAAACTTACCCAAGAGGTTATGAAAAGCTGTGATTTTAATATTTCAAAAACCTTTCCATAAATTTTATGAGAACCGTTTGTTTTAAGGTTAACGATATTTATAAGATAGGATAACCTAATTTTCTTATTCAACATATCAAATCCACTGTGATCACTGCTACTTGTATGATTGAAACAATTCTGATGTTGGAAACTTTTGTTTTATTCAAATAATATCTTATTACTCTGCTTTAAGTTGCTAACTGGAAAGTAAAGGAGTCGTAAATCAACCAAATTTAGATATTTATGTTTCTTATAGAATATGTTAGGTTTTATCAACTTAAAATAAGTAATTTTTTTTCCTGTCTTTGCTAAAGCATATTGTAAATATAGTTATTAGTCAAAATGCAATGAATATTCTTAAAATACATTATGTTTTCAGTTACAAAAATGCTGTCCTTTACTACTTATATGTGTACCATACTTGCTTAAATTAATTTCTACTCTAAAGAGGAAATTTAAGTTTAGGGAATTTTACACTAAGTGTGTTTTACCTATTTCGTCCATGAAAAATTCAGGAGGTTTTCGGTGTCCTGTAGCTAAAACTTGTCTTCCAATGTCTTCAAACATGATTGGACGGGACTCTAAATTCATCATGAGCATTGACTGAAGCTGTTTCCTTGCTCGGTTCAGCTCATCCTTTAAAAGATAATGAATCAGGACAGAGAATATACTTACAACTTTTATTTACACTATATGTTGAACTACAAAAATAAAAACAGCTTTAAAGAATAGTGTTCATACTTTTATTTTTAATTGAAGTGTTGTTTTTTTTGTATAATTATAGCACAATCCAGACATTAAAGGCTGTTAACGGAACTTACTTTATAAGTTATTGTGTTATTTATAATAAAAAACAATTGTTTGGATCTACAGCCATTAACAAAGTATAAAAAATAGACTATAATTACTGAAGAGTACACAATTACAATAAAAGATGCAACAGAAGTATTTTATTGAATAATTTATGGTTATGTTAATAATGACGTGAAGGTAAGACAAGATAAAGAGGGGAGGGTTAATCAAACTTTGAAAAATGTTTTACTTATGCTAATACATAGGAAATATGAGTTTCAGCACCACTGGAAATATTTTTATCCCCTATACATTTGTTTCACAGCAAATTCCAAATATTTTAACAGTGTAATATGGCTATATAAATATTTCACAGTCCTTTCTGAATATAACAAAAAAGCAAAGAGGTGAAAACATGTCAATTTCAAGGATGATTAAGTATAATATTGAACAGCATCACTGGAAGATCAGCACCATCACATGAGGATGTAACACCTTCTAAAAAGCATCCCATCTCACACAAGGGATGTCATTCGCATTGATAAAGTTTGCAGGATGGTCATCTAGGGCCCTCATCCCTATACAGATTGCCAACAAATGTATATATCTAAATCAACAGTCCAAAAGATAATTCCAAGAGGTTTTTGTCCTTTTAAAGAAGCAAAAATCACAGGTGAACAAGAAATATTGGACAAGATCTATGTGTACTTGAATATATGTGTGAAGAAATGGATGATTTTCAACCATTATTTTTGTTGAGCTTTATCACTGCTCTAGGTTTCTCATGAAATAGGCAATTTAAATTTCACAAAATGCATGATGAAGCAAAGATGAACCCCAATCGTTATGAGAAAAACACTAACATCAATTAAGCAACATGATATTTCAGCACTTTTAGAGCAAGGATGCCACAAATGCTAAATCATTAAGTTATACATTAAAGTCCACAGCAGAGCTTTTAAAATCATGATGAATGAATCTGGTGTCTATACTGTCCCCCATCTCTGACAAACTTGTAAAGCCACGTGGCTGTACACTGATGGACTTATGTGCAATTGGTTACTTTAATGTGGTTTTGAAAGATGTTGTTCATGTACAGTGCAAAGTCTGTAAAGATGTGATGTCTAAGAGTGACCTTCACAGAAACTTATTACAAAGTGTAATTAACTGTCATAGAATAACTGCAAGTATTACACACACAGAGTGTGTAATTAATTCATTGGAAAAGTCTAAGTTGCACAAAGGATAATAATAATAAGAAAATGTAACCCAATTAACAACAACAATAAATAACATCACAGTCTCAACTTAGTTTCAGTCACAAAAAATTATGAGATAGATTGTATGAAAGTAATAACTGCAGTAAAGGTTATCACAAAACCAATACCACTTTGCTTTTTAATGTTTACTTTTATTTCAGTTTGTATAGTTTTTGTTTCTTATATATCAAGCTGGAATGGTGAAACTGTGCAACATTATGGACTGTTTAATAGTTGTAATGAACTAAATTATTTGTTTTTGTTTCTTATACATCAAGCTGGAATGGTGAAACTGTGCAACATCATGGACTGTTTAATAGTTGTAATGAACTAAATTATTTGCTGTTGGGAACTACAGACAAACTGGGAAGAAACAACTACACATGTCTTGGTACCCTTCTTACCTCTGATATTCTTCCCGTCATCTTTGTGAATTCCATTACTATCACCTCCACCAAATCTTTTAGCTGCAAGCAGAAGAGAAAGTTTTGAAGTTAAAGAACTTGCAAACAAATAAATGTACAAGTGCACACAACAATCTTGTTTGATAGAACTAATTTTCTCTTTAACAGATAACTAAACCTGAAACAAAACTGGAAGTGTTTGGAATGAACTCCTTTCATAACATGTTCGAAACAACACACTACTTGCTTTCTTATTTTAACCACTGCATTCAACTGTCTGTAACTTTTCTCCTTAGCAAAAATAATTTCAGTGATGAGTTGATATCAGTATTTAATTAATTTCCCCCATGACAACAACAAAATTAAAGAAACTGCAAATACAGGAACTTGATTCTTTGACTTATGCAAAGTTTTTTCTGCATCATTAAAACATATTGAACTTACTTTGTATTTTCTATATTCCTAGTAATCTTTTAAATGCAATTACAGAAATTAAAATCAGAGGAAAAAGGAAAGAAAATCTACCACTTATATTATAAATTGCTACCACTCTCAAAGTAACAACTAAATTAAATCTTCTGTTTGAAAATTTTAATACTTTTACATTAATATAAAATAACTCACCTAGTTTTGAATTAATTAACTGAACTGCATCATAAATCAAAATCTGTATCAGCTAACATACTATGGTGTTAAGATTATCCTCTTACTTTCCACGTTGTATCAGCTAACATATGACAATGTTAGATTATCCTCCTAAATTCCATGTTGTATCAGCTAACATACTATAGTGTTAAGATTATCCTCTTACTTTCCACGTATCAGCTAACATACTATAGTGTTGAGATTATCCTATTGCTTTCCATGTTGTATCAGCTAACATACAATAATGTTTAGATTATCCTCCTACATTCCATGTTGTATCAGCTAACATACAATAATGTTTAGATTATCCTCCTACTTTCCATGTTGTATCACCTAACATACCATAATGTTAAGAATTTAGAATAGCAGATTTTACAAATTCAAAATAAGAATTCCATAAACACAGAGGCAAATTTCCATGTATAATGAAGAAGAATCCATGATATACTAAAATTCAAATACTGCAATATCTTCTTGATGATGTTATGATTAATCACAGCTGAGTTCAAGATGTCCTAGACTGATATGAATCCCATCACAAGAAAAGGAACTTTGGTAAAAATCAGTGTCCACTAACAATTTACTAACTGATGTTAATAGAATAAAACTATTTACCTGAGATGGATGAGCACCTGCATGAATACAGAATATTCCACTGTCATTATAAGCATGGTTGTAAGCAGTAGCATTGTACATCCAGTGATGCCTGGTAAAAAGGATATTAATTCTTGTCTATAAACTTTGAACTGCAATGTTTTCACTAAATAATTACCTTCTACACTACTGCCCTAATATTTTCTTCCTTTTCGAAAACTTTGAGACATCATATTTTTCTGTTTGATAACATAAACCTATTTGTTTCAACTTAAAAACCTATTGAAATGATTAATTACAATTTTAAACCTATTGTGATTTCTTGAAAACTGTCTTACTTCCAATAATAGCTAAGTTCCATGATTTGATTTTCTACATTTCAACGAATAATTTTGAAAAATTAACAAATTAGTTTGTTTATGGTTAAGCTAAATAGTTACATCATTGCTAAAAAACCCTTTATATCTTGCACTTGATTAATAACGTGTTTAATGGGTTTCAATCATAATGTTTATTTTTTTTGTTGAATTTCATTCAAAGATACTCAAAGCTACCTGTACTACCCATCCTTAATTTTAAAGTGATAGACTAGGGGTAAGGCAGCTAGTTAACACTACTTGCTGCCAACTCTTGGGCTACTTTGTCAGATCAAATGGTGGGATTTGAGTATCACTCTTATCACAAATCTATGGCCCTAAAGTGTAAACCATGTTTTTTTGGGGGTGGGGTGGGGTGACATGACTGGTGTGAACCATGGAACCACCATCTGGCACACTAAGCCACACTCAGTGCTTAAATCATAATGGTTAAGTTAGATTAGGTCAGATATATTTTTATAATATAGGTGCCTGCTGCCATAACAATATCTTTTATATGAGTGAATATTAGTGAAATTTTTGGCACTCCATCAGGAATACTGTTTATCCACACATTCTGTTACCAGCTTCTCAAAGTAAGGCCTTACTACTAATACAAACCTATTTAACATATTTGTTTATCCTCACATTCAGTTACCAGCTTCTCAAAGTAAGGCCTTACTACTAATACAAACCTATTTAACATATTTGTTTATCCTCACATTCAGTTACCAGCTTCTCAAAATAAGGCCTTACTACTAATACAAACCTATTTAACATATTTGTTTATCCTCTCATTCAGTTACCAGCTTCTCAAAGTAAGGCCTTACTACTAATACAAACCTATTTAACACATTTGTTTATCCACACATTCTGTTACCAGCTTCTCAAAATAAGGCCTTACTACTAATACAAACCTATTTAACACATTTGTTTATCCACACATTCTGTTACAAGTTTCTCAAAGTAAGGCCTTACTACTAATACAAACCTATTTAACATATTTGTTTATCCTCACATTCAGTTACCAGCTTCTCAAAGTAAGGCCTTACTACTAATACAAACCTATTTAAAACATTTGTTTATCCACACATTCTGTTACCAGCTTCTCAAAGTAAGGCCTTACTACTAATACAAACCTATTTAACATATTTGTTTATCCTCACATTCAGTTACCAGCTTCTCAAAGTAAGACATTACTACTAATACAAACCTATTTAACACATTTGTGTACAGACGAGTGTACATTCCTTTTCCAGGCCCACCAGCGGAAAATGATCCCCCTCCTCCCATCATCATGTTCAGTACACAAAAAGGTATGAAGTCTGGATCTTGGTGAGAACTACTCTCCAGCCCTAGCACTAAATGGGCCAATTCTGGTATTGGAGTTGGACCTAGACTTACATTTGACAAATCCTTTTCAATCTGTATAAAATTGAGGAAAACAAGAATAAAATGATGGAAAATTGGGGTTTTAAAGATAATTGTCCTTCCAAAAGAACTGAAAAAAATCAACAACATTGCCTATTGAGCAGAATACAAGTAGTTTAATATTCAATATACATCTTTTTTTACTTTTTTTTAATAAAAACCTATTCTGGCCTTTTTTCATATAGTATAGCTTACCAAGTAAAACGTATGTAAAAATTAGGTAAGTAATTCCGGAAGAACAAATTTTTATCAGAAAAGCAAATTAACTAAACACTTCAACATATTGAGAGTGAAGATGGTTGAATAATCTAGCTTCACTGTTATATGAAAAAATAACTAAACAGTTCAACATATTGAAAGTGAAGATGGTTGAACAATCCAGCTTCAATGTTATATGAAAAAATAACTAAACAGTTCAACATATTGAAAGTGAAGATGGTTCAACATATTGGATGGTTGAACAATAGCTTCCAGAAACACTTCAACATATTGAAAGTGAAGATGGTTGAACAATCCAGCTTCAATGATATATGAAAAAACAACTAAGCAGTTCAACATATTGAAAGTGAAGATGGTTGAACAATCCAGCTTCACTATTATATGAAAAAAACAACTAAACACTTCAACATATTGAAAGTGAAGATGGTTGAACAATCCAACTTCAATGTTATAAGTTGCATACGGACAATTCTTATCATATTACTGTCATAAATTACATACCATAAGTTTTTAGAACCTAAACTTACTTGTATCATTCCTCCTGTATATTGAGATATTGATTTATCAGCTTGTATTCTGGTATCTATAACTAATTTTGGATCTTCTTCCCAGACAGGTTTTTCTTGTTCGAAGTACCTGCCAAGACAGATCTTTAAACTTAGAATTGTTTAAAACTAGCTTAATGATTACAATTATCCCACTTCAACAGAAAAAAAAAAGAACAACACCAAATATAGTTATTTCTACTTGTAGATACTCTTGTCATACAAAACAGCTAAACATTTATGTATATGTAAATATAAAGTACCTTGACTACAGAAAAAGGCTTATTCTAATCTTAGTTTTCATCATTCTATAAATGTAACTACCCTGAACAAAAAAATACATTACTAAGTTGTTTTTTTTTCATTTATAGCTGCAAATATACATACAACCTCAACCATATGTCATTTAAAGTGTCTGTTCCATGAAAACCTTTATTCAGCTGTATCCCAAATACATCATTACTGAATATCTGAAACATCTAAAGATGTCAATACCACCACAATACTCTGTATTTGCTACTTGTACTATGATTAAGTAAAGACATATTACAAAGACTTTATCTAAGAAAACAATTAACATCTTGCCTACTTTTGTGTACAATCAACCAAAGCTTCATGATCCACTCCTACCCCTGCAACAACCATACGTGACGGTGTGTAATAATGCTTCAAGTACGTGAAGAGAACATTTCTGTTTATAATTTCAATATTTTCTGGTGGGCAGATCTTTGGTAAACCAAGTGTGTTGTTTTGGTATGCTGCCTGAATGAAAAAAAAAAAAAAGGTTAAATAGTTATTTCAAAGAAAGCAATAATATGTACAAGGTCTGATAAAAGATGTGTAGGGATTTAAAACTGCAATAATCAACAACAACAGTTGGCATAGTTTGTGTTTAATATTTATGAAACTGTAGTTAAGTAAGATTTCTTATAACCATTAAGAAGGAAAATTAATGTCCGGTAGGTGTCCACCACAAACTGCCACATACTGACATGCTCTAAGAATGACACTTTCCAAAGTTTCTGTCTTTATGTTATCTTTCAAATTCTGTAGTGTCTGTGGCTTGTTGACCTACACTCTGTTCTTTAAGTAACCCTAAAAAGGGAAGTCTGCTGCTGACAAATCTGGGGATTGTGGAGGCCAGTTTATGTCTCCATTATGAAAAATTACCCTGTCTGGGAACAGATCACACAACAATGCCATTGTTGCTCATGCTGTATGTCAGGCGGCACCAATGTTGTTGAAGACATAATTCTCATTGATAACACGTTCAGAAGGAGCAACATTAACTCCAAGTTCTAGATGGTATGCTGTTTGAGCAGCAGTGATGGAGCTTTCATTTTTGAAATAAAACTGAACGATAAGAGAATGCTGATGCATTGTTCACCTGTTCATGATTAAAATACAAATCCTTAATTTTAATTCATAATAAAATGGATAAAGCTTTTCATTAATACTTTGGAAAATCTAACAATAAAAATTCCCTACACTTCTTTTGGTGGACCCTGTAGATAATACGATAAGATTGTAGTGAGGCTTGATGAGCTGATAAGTAATGTACAGAAAATGTTCAATTAATTATTAGTTATAAATTAAAATTAACAATAACCATTCCTACAGATTTATTAGTAAATCAAATACCTTGTTGAAAATAAAATCATGTAAACTTTTAATTCAACATGCAAAGGTACACAGACTACATCAGAACTCGTACTAGCCGAGTGTGCTTTGACATGTGTCAATATTTCCCCAAATTTTTTGTATACACACAGTTTCCATGCTGTAATATACTTCCCAATACATAACAATATGCTCAGTACTCTAGAAAAAATATCATAACATAAGGAAGTATTTTTCAGTATTATGTCAAGTATTACAAAACGTATCTCTAAAACAGTCTTGTTCATATAATGTGTACCTGCAGTGTCTTTTTAGACCAAATACCTTTTGATGTGATTATTTTGGGTATTGTTATTTTCCTTATAAGCATTTTTCTGAAACTTGTTCCCTTTAAAAATTATTTCATACACATGGTTGCCACAGAATGAAAATCCCCGACTTCTCCCTGATCAATATATGTTATTTCCTGAGCATTTGATCTATGTTTGTAATGTATCATTACCTATAATAAAATGTGAAATTGTTAAAAACTATTCGTGTATTGTTTAATACAGACAAGCTGCATATTAATAGCCTCAGTATGCTTAAATGTCATCTTGCAAAGTTTAAGTATGATCGGTCACTTGATTATCAAATTATTGATATCTCATCAGATGCATAACAAATGAAGTTTTATCCATATTTTATGACTGTGCATACTGATCACACTTTTGAATTTTAACTCAAATCACAAACAAATTTTAAAGAATAAACAACATTATATATATTTTAACATTTGGAATTACTACATTGACTTTTAATACAAGGAAGGAAGGAACATATTTACTGTTGTGATATGTACACATGTCAAATATTTATTAAAGTGATATTTTCTCATGTGTGTACAAGCAAAAAAAGTTTACGAAACTTTAAGTTTTAACCATACTCTGTAACCTACTCATATTTCCAATATTTATGAAATAATTGCACACATTAATGAAATCA